ATGTATATATATATATATATATATATATATATATATATATATTAATTTTTTTTTTTTTAATTTATATAATAATAATAACGGTGTATCAAGGTGCCGCATCTCCTACCTTGTCTCCTGTTTCGTAATGAACCATGTCTAAAGATTCTCTCGAACCTCTTCTAGAACTTTTCCTTTTCTTCTCGCTCTCGTTATTTCCTTCTAGTATTTTTTTAACTCTCGGTTGTTTCCACATGTTCAACGCCTGGAAAATCCAACGAATGTTTATCATCGTCAGCAAAAGACAAAAAAAAAAAAAAAAAAAAAAAAACTCCCTTCCTCGGGGGGAGAAATCACTCACGTCTCTTCCCGTTTTAATGGCGCAATCTTCTAAAATCTCCGCCGCCTCGTATTTCCCCTGACGCCGGTATAAACCACCCAAATTTCTAAGGGTTGTCGTGACCGTCGGCGAATCAACTTTTGCCGCTATGTGCCACCCGCCGTATTCGCCGTACAAAACGTTTTCCTTATTTTTCAATTTATTTTCTTCTCTTTCTTCTGCTATTTGCCATATGGGTTTGTTATCACCTGCGATATCATTCATTGTTAAATTAAACGTTTAAACAACATTAGAACTGACAGCACGCCAACAAAAATTTTTTTTTTTCAACTCACCATCGATGGTTCCGAATTCTCTTTCGTGCGCTCTCGTCAAAACTTGCTTATATAAAATTTCAGCTTCTTTGTATTTTCCCTGCCTTAAATAACACGAAGCTAAATTGTTTTGAGTTTTAGCAACGTTCGGATCGTCCGGTCCTAATTTACTGTCGTATATTTCTAAGGCTCGCTGATAATATTGTTCGACTTCGTCGTATTTCATCTGCGAAAAGACAAAAAGAATCATCATCATTATTATTTCAACTATTTTTTAAATTTAAAATACAAGAAACTCGAAAGAGAAAGGAAATCAGGTCGCACCTGATTTTGACAAAGCAAAGCCAAATTATTTAATTGTTTAGCAACGTCCGGATGATCTTTTCCCAAAACCTTTTCTCGAATTTCTAAAGCTCTTTTACAAAGGGGTTCGGCTTCTTTGTATTTCCCTCTTTTACCGTACAAAACGGCCAAATTGTTTAGAGTTGCCGCGACGGCGGGATGATCTTCTCCTAATGTTTTTTCACGGATTTCTAAAGCGTCGTTTAACAATTTTGCAGCTTCCCTATATTTATTTTGATCCCTGAATAAAAAATTTTTTTTTGATTAATTATTACCCATCGAATGCGGAAAACAAAATAATAATAATAATAATAATAATAATAATAAAATCTATCCCTTCCTTTATCCCTTACCTATAAACCAGAGCTAAAATATTTAACATGGTTGCCACATCGGGATGAAATCTTCCACTTGTGACTTCTAAATCTTGCAAAGCTTGTCTGCACAAAGGAACGGCGACTTCATATCGTCCTTGACTCGCGTACTGTATAACCAAATTATGAAGG